CCCTGAACCCTAAACCCTAAGCCTATCACCGAAGCCCTGTGCTCCAAAGCTCTGCTCCAAGATCCCCAAGACCCGAACCCAGAGACTCTACCACTTAATCAAGGAATGTACTTGAAGCTGTAGTAGGAGCCCTAATAAGACAAGGTATATTCCTTAATTCAGGATGCTACACCAAATGGTATGGTAACCCTAACAAGATTCCAGGTATATTCCTTAGTTAAGAGGGGTTTTGGAGTCTTTGGGAATGCTTAGGGTTTAGGGTTTAGGATTTAGGGTTTAGGGTTTAGAGGGGTTTTGGAGTCTTTGGGAATGCGCTGTCCAGGAATTCCAGAACGGTTCAGAGTGGAGATACACAAGGCTGGCAGAATCGCTGGGTCGGGGCTTACCTGTAGTCTCCATTGAAGTTCCTTTTTTTGGTTCAACCAAATATAGATTTAGGAGTTTTTTTTTGAGGTATCCCCAAAAAGGAGTTACAATGGAGACTATAGGTACCTGTAGTCTCCATTGTGGTTGATTTTTCTGCTTAACCAAAATATATATTACACCCTAAGGGTCCAAGTAGTCCTTATTCGTGGTTTTTGGTACCCAATATGGACCCAAAGTCCTATAGTGCGGAGTACTTGGACCCTTAGGGACAGGCTCCTAGCCACAAAATTGGTTAAACCACAAAACTCAAACCCTAAACCCTAAACCCTAAACCCTAAACCCTAAACCTGTCACAAAACGGAACCACCATGGAGACTGCAGGTAGAGTTTATCGGGTTCGGGATGTGATGTCGTTTCTCTGGGTCTTCGGCACAAGATGAGTTTAGGGTTTAGGGTTTAGGGTTTAGGGTTTAGGGTTTAGGGTTTAGGGTTTAGGGATTTAGGGTTTGTAGGGTTAGGATTAATCTTAGAGGCTCTAAACCCTAAACCCCAAACCCTATATTATAGGCTTCGCTACAGGATCATCGGTTGGGGTTAGCGCTTCAGGTTTAGAGCATGTAACCTTTCAGCCCCCCAAAAGTTGGAAACCGGATAAGGGACAATTACTGCTGGGAATCCCTATACGTTACTTTTAAGGATTGTTGGGTTTCCAACTTTTGGGCTTCTACTGTAGATGCACAGGGCGGAGGTAACTGAAGACCGTCTTTTTGTGGGTGTGGGTGTGCGCGTGGGGTGCTGTAGAACGGGGCTTTAGGATTCCAACTGTTTCGTTTCTTCGGGGGGGGGGGGTCTTAAGTTATACCTATAGTCTCCGTTGGCGTGGGGTGCTGTAGAACGGGGCTTTAGGGTTCCAACTGTTTCGTTTCTTCGGGGGGGGGTCTTAAGTTATACCTATAGTCTCCGTTGTAGTTCCTTATTGGGGTGGTAACCCATTATATATATATATATATACATATAGGACCCTCACAATTAACCAAATTAACCAAAAAGGGAACTACAATGGAGCCCTATAGGCAGGTTTTATGGTACGCGGCTTGAGGTTGTGCCCTCTTTGGGGGTCTCACACCTATAAATAGTACCTCCTTTGGGCTGTGGCTAGGCTTTCAAGACTTTGAAGGGCCTCTGGGCCCTAAACCCTAAACCCTAAACCCTAAACCCCAGACCCTAAACCCTAAACCCTAAACCCTAAACCCCAAACCCTAAACCCAAAAACTGGCTTGAATAATCGTTTTCGGGGCACTCCAGGGGCCGACGTGCGTCTGCCGGGCCAGACAGGAAACCAATAACTTAACACCTTCAGTGGCTTTGGGATTAAGGCGCGTTGAGGGTTTAGGGATGTGTAGGCCCTGAACCCTAAACCGTAGGGTTTTAGGGCAGTTTAGGGTTGTAGGGCTTCGAGTTCAGGGCTTAGGGCCAAAAGCCGAAGCTCTGAATCCTGACCCTACACCCACGGTTTAGGGTTTAGGGTGTAGGGCGTAGGGCGTAGGGTTTAGGGCTAGGGTTTAGGGTTTAGGTTTAGGGTTTAGGGCTAGGGATTCGGGCTTAGGGTTTAGTGCTTAGTGAAGCCCCCTGCAGGAGATTTTCATGCAGTCCCTGATGCTCACGAACATATGGCCTCCGTGGACCCATTCTGCAACTTGGCAGCTCTACGCTCATACCGTCCCAAGTCCTTATCCCAAAACCCTATACCCCCATAACCCACATGTGCCCTGAAACTGAGAGTTCACATGGTATAGTAGCATTTTTGTTCAGGGGCTTGTTTTTTGGCAGGGATCCAGCACGAGGCCTCAACATTTACGTGTCCTTATTATAAACCTTACATCATACCTTAGACAAGTCTCTAACCCTCAAAATGGAAACCGTAACCTCAAGTCCAAACCCTATCCCAACATATCGGATTCCCTAAACCCCACACCTCAATGACGCGCCGTGACGCGCCTTGCTCCTGCCGAGGAGGCGCCAGATTTTCTCAGCAGTGTGTGCCATCGTGTGATGCAGGAGCTACTTGAAGGTTCAGGGGTAGTCCTAAACCCTGAACCCCTAGACCTTAAACTCGAATGTTCCCTAAACCCTAAACTTGGCCCTAAACCCTAAACCCTGTTATATCTGCTCAGGAACCTAAGCACTGAAAATCATGCGGGGTGGTAGACCTGGCAGCCCAACACCAACGCCCCAGTCATCCTCTTCTCCAAAACAAAACCCTCAACCCCAAAACCCTAACCCCCAAAACCCTAAACCCTAACCCCTAAAAACCTAAACCCTAAACACCAAAACATCCCTAAACCCTAACCCCAAAGACCCTGTAAACCCTAAGCCCCCAAAACCCGAAACCCTAAACCGTAACTAGGCCGCTTGTGGAGCCCCAGGCTGCAGGCCTTCAGCCCGAAATCTCACGGTTTAGGGTTTAGGGTTTAGGGTTTAGGGCAAGCAAGTGCGAGCCTCCAGGAGCATTGGGATCCATGTGGCCAGGACACTTTCCTGCCCCGGACAAAATGCCAAATGGTATATTTGCTTCAGCCGTTTGGCATCATTTAGCACAGTTCTTTGATTCGGATTGAAGTTTCATTGTCACTGGAGCGGCGTTGGTGCTGGTACCTGTAGCTGCCATAGCCCAGCAGCTGTAGCAGTAGCAGCAGAAAGGGGAGAGGGAGGAGGAGCGGGAGTAGGAACAGGAGCAAGAGGAGGCATCTCGAGTAGAAGTATGAGTTGGAGTATTTGTAGGAGGAGAAATAGGAGTAGGAGAAGGAGGAGGATGAGGAGGCAGAGGACGAGCAGGGGTGGTAATTAGGATGAGCAGCAGCAGCCGCAGCTAGTAGCAATGCAACAGTGCCTCATTTGTTCAGAGAGTCCTTTGGTGTGCCTCTGTTCACATCACTAGAAACTGCATTCATGCATGCATGCATGCATGCGTACATGCATAATCTGCGACGGTGAAGTCTGGGTCAGCTGACGTTACTCAGGAAAGCATCCCCTTATGTTGTCCAGACATCTATATTCCAAAGTACCCCCAAAACCTTGTTCCAGTTCTCAAGGCCCCTATATTTCCCGGCCTAAAGCCTATGCCCGAACACCCTCCCTTCGAGCACCTAGGGGAAGAGGAGCTCCCGAGCCCCTATACCGAAAATCTGAAACGAGAGCTTTCAGCTCGAAGTTTTATCGTGGATCCCAGAAATTCAGAAAGTTGGAGCATGGAATTAGGATGATGAGTGCTGGTTTTCCCTATAGTTTACTTTAAGAGCATGAGGATCACAAGGCTCCCACTTTCTGGCTTTTACTGTAAGAACTCTACAGACTAATATGACCACCTGGAGCCCTTCTGAGATCTAGGCACAAGTCCTCGCATAAGCCCTCTACACCCCAGACTCTGCATAGTTCCCCCTATCAACAATGAAACATGAGATAGTGCCCTGTTCCTCCCCTGGGAGCAAGGGGCCAGTATTTCGAACGCTAATTTCCTTCAGGCCTTCAAGGAACCCACCAATCTTAAATCCTGTGTGTGTGTGTAGATCTTTACCTACATAACTTTATATTCTGGATAGAGTGAGAGAGACATAAACCCTTGAAAGCCACTTTGAAAAGAAGCCCCGCAATCCCAAATTCCCAAACCAAAACCCTAAACCCTAAACCCCCAGAAGCCCGAACCTTACACCCTCTAGCAGCGCAAACCTCTAAACCCTAAACCCCCCAAGCCCTAAGACAGAAGTTCAGGTCAGGGGACGCGGAGTATGTGGACGAAGAGACATGGCCGTGGATCACAGAGGGTCTTAGGGTGTAGGGTTTAGGGCTTAGGGGGTATAGGGGTTGGGATTTTAGGGCTTCAGAGTTTTTGTTGGGTCTAGGGTTTGGGGCTTTAGGTATGAAGAGTTTCCTAGAGGCTGAAGAGACATGCAAAGTATCTCCAACAGTTCAATTCCCGTGGACCTTTTTACCGTTAGCGTTTGGGCAAATCCCTAAGGGTCCAAAGGACCCAATAATCATGGATAGTAGTTATGTAGGTCGGTCAGTGTTTGGGAGAGTATATGATTATTAGGTACTTGGACCCTTAGAGACTTCGGGAATGTTCTTAGGTATGTGGAGTCTTATTCGGGGGCACACGAACCCTTAAAGAGTCTGTAGCGCATACCCCATGCGAAGTTTCAAAAGAGTAATTAATTGCCCATTCCATTCAAGGCTCACTATGTCCTACAATTTTTAGGGCTACTGTGCCCTGAAGAGTATGGTCTAGGGTTTCTAGGCAACCCTAAACCCGAAACCCCTAAACCCGTAAACCCTAAACCCCTAAACCCTTAACCCTGGGTAGTTCTTGATATTGGGGTCCTTTCGAGGGTTCCTTAACGGGCTCTATACAGGTTTTCTCTGGGTACCTCTCGAAATTAGGGACCCTTTCGATTAGGGTGCCGTACTAATACTATTGGGGGGGCCGAAACAGGGACCCTGAGTTAGAGAACTACCCATGTGTTTTCGGATCCCTGCGCTCAAGTAAGGACAGGAAGATGAAATTCATTTCCGTTCGAGGCGACCCCGACTTGGAAGTGCTCTGTTTGCCAAATCTTTGGGCAGAGTGGGTGCACACTGGGCGCTTGACTGTCACCTCCGGCATGTGCCACTACGCTGGTATCGTGGTCTCCCAGTAGTACCCTGTTGCATTTTTTTTAACTTCGGGCTCTCCTTCCTTAAAGCCGAATTGTAGAAAAAGGGGCACCCTAAACTCTAAACCTGAACCCCGAACCTAATCCCTAAACCCTAAACCCTAAACATATGTTATGAAAGAGCATACTGGGGAACCTAGGTATTGACTGCAAGCAGTTCTGCACGTTGGCTACGCACTTCGGTGGCCGCCTCTGCGAGTATCTGAAGGCTGAGCTTCTTTGAAGGGTACCATAGGGGCCGGAATCATTAGAAAAGGTTTTTTGAGGCAAACGCCAATGGAATAGGTTTTTGGGGAAAATGCTATAGAATAGTTTTTTTGGGCAAACGTTATACTACGTATCATCATGTCATGACCAGGAAGTTTTCGTGACGACTCAGGTTTCTACGTGTGGTATGTGGTTTAGGGTTTAGGGGTTTGGGGTTTAGGGTTCAGGGTATGTGGTTTAGGGTTTAGGTCGGTTCCAGGTGAGGTATTGAAGCACGCCTCGCCAAGACAATCGCTGCGAGAGCTAGATGGTTGTTGTCTTGCTCAGCTATCCGTAAATCACCTCTAGCTCTGTGGGTTGTTGCATAACCCCACCAGAATTCAAAACGTTAACCTTGCGAATGGCTAGAATACGCAGCCCTTAAGCTCCTTGCATGATAATGGAAACAACCCAGAGAGCCCAAAGGAATAGACCTAAAATCATAATGTTCAGGCCGTTATACTTTACGTTATATACCTTTATTAAGGGGTATTGGGTTCTCTGGGATCAACGTGAAGCCTCGATTCCGCTCTCCAGTTCTGCATCCCTTCTCCGCTCCCCCTCTGCGGCCCCTCTGCGGCCGCAGCCAGATCTGTGGGGTTCAGGGCCGAGAAATGTACATGTAAGGGCCTTATAATTAGACGGGGGTTTTGGGGGTTCCTTATTATGATTTTAGTATGATAGACCCCTGCCTGCGAGGTATTCAAGAAGATTTAGGGTACTATATTAGGGTCCCTATTTTCGGAAAGTTCTTGAACAAATACCTCCTTGATCACAAAACCTCATCAACTCACCCTAAACCTTTAACAGTTTAGGGTTTAATATAGGGGCCTGAACAACTACCTATATTATTTTGGGGTTTCCTCATCATGACTATAGTATAATATATCGCTAAGCCCTATTCTAATTATTAAGGTCTCTATATAGAACTCTATCATGGATCCCCTATAGAACCCTCTAAGGATCCCTTAAAACTATTCTAATTACAAAGGCCCTTACACTAGGGTTTTTAACCCTGAGCCTTCTACCCTCTGCTTGAGCTCTGGCCTTGTGTTCGGAGGTGCTCGGCATACTTCTGATTGGCGAGATTGAAGCCCTGGAGGCAAGGGCTTTAGGGTTTAGGGCTTTAGGGTTTAGGGTTTACGGCTCCGGGTTCAGCGCCGTAGCCATCTTAAAGCTTTATTGGAGTAGCACCTAGAACCATTATGTGGGACTCATGAAGCCTTGCAGGGAGACACCGTACAACCTCAAGCCCTAAACCATGAAACGCCAAGTGCCAAACCGCAATCCCAATTCACAAGCCTTCCTGGTCCAAACAGTCAACTTTAGGGTTTAGGGTTTAGGGTTCAACCTCTACAAGACAACATCACCAGACTGCACGACCATACAAAGAGCCCTTGCGCAGTCGCGTTTCCATGGAGGTTGTGCCTTCAGCCCCCTAAACCTCAAACCACAAACCCTAAACCACATCCTGTGCGGCAGCCGGAAATCGCTGTGGGACCCAGTTGCTTTTGGTCCACATGGCAGCTGCATATTAACTTGGCGTGGGATTGAGGGCTTAGGGGTTCAGGGCTTAGGTCATTTTTGCCCATGCATCTCAGACTCAACCTCCAAACTAACTAAATCCGAAGCCTGATATTCCAGGCACTATAACCCTCGAACGTACCGGAAAGTTATGAGGGGATAGGGCGAGCCGCAGGCACGGAACGTCCGCGTGACGGACCTATGCGTGCCCAGGAAGGTGGCTATTGAGGAGACTTTTAGTTCTCTCTGTTTGGGACACATGGTGTATTGTTTAGGGTTTAGGGTTTAGGGTTCATGGTGTATTACAGGGGCCTGAACAATTTCCTACACTATTTGTTGGAGGTTCCTTTCTAAATTACCTATACTATGTTGGGGGGGTTCCTTTTGTAATTATAGTAGAATGGGTCCCCAAACCCTATTCTAATGATTAAGGCCCCTACATTCCTAGACCCCCCAACTACCCTCTAATATACCCCAAATACCCACTGTTAGGGACCATAAGGGCTCTATTAAAGGGCCATTGGGGGGTCCTGGTTATTGTGGGTCTCCATTGTAGTTCCTTTTTTGGGGTCGCCTTTTTGGCTCCTGGGTTTAGGGTTTAGGGTTGAGGGTTTAGGGTTTAGGGTTCAGGGGTTTAGGGTTTGGGGTTTAGGGTCCTACATGTAAAATTCTTCAACCAAAAAAAGGAACGACCATGGAGACTACAGGTACTACAGAATATAGGGGCCTAGAAAATTACCTATGCTATGCTGGGGGTTTCTTATTATAACTATAGTATAACGGGCCCCGAAACCATGGAGACTACAGGTAGAGTTTTGTCGTCATGGTAAGGGTATTTAAGATGGAGGCCTCAAATCTGAACCCAGGTAAGGGTTTAGGGGTTCAGGGGTTTAGGGTTTAAGGTTCAGGGTTTAGGGCGTTCATTATCTGGCCCTGTCTTCTGTGTGGGATCTGACTTTAGTTGTCAGTGAGGGACTTTCAATTCAGGGATCTTCGCCCAGAGTCTATATAGACCCCGCTATAGTGGGACAACCTGAGACCCTCGTTGCAAACACCTCTGAACCGGGCTCCGTCACTCGTGGGACATCAGCCAGGATAATTGGAAACATTATGTGAAACCGCTTGTTTTCCGGGGCGGGAGCGCGTAGTTGTAAATTGGAGTCCATGAGAACGGTGTGCCAGCTACGACTTACATGCGCAGAACAGCCGGCAGAAGCAGAAGCTAGCAAGGCAACGGCGCCGGAACGTCATCAAGACCTTGGATGACAAATCCCAGCTCAGTTTGAAGGCCGCAGCACGCAAGGCTGTCGCACTTCGTTTCTCCGGCCTGGGCCGGTTGCTGGGCAAAAACGCGATGCACTACCTCGAAACTTGGGTCCTCAAAAACAGGCAGCAAGTGCCCCAGTTGCTCAGGGCACGTGGCTCCTGCTAGGTCCTGGAGGCCATCGCGGCATGAATCTGTTGCAAGGTTAATGGCGCTCAGGGTGAGGGGCGGGGCCGTGAAACTGCTTAGGCTCCTCGTGTCAAACCCTCAACGGCTTTTAAAAGCTCTACACCCAGCCCAAAACCCTACCTCCACCCCAAAAGCCCTCTATTTCCCGAAAACCTAAGCCCCAAACCCTGAATCCCAACCCCTAAATCAACCCCACGACCTACCTATAGTTTCCATTGCGGTTACTATTATAGGATTTTTCAATGTTTGACACTTTACAGTGTAAAATGGACAAAAAAAGCGCCTCAACGTGCACAACTAGACCAACAAATGCACCAAAAGGCCAATAATTATGGCTTTGCAGTGTAAGCCCCAAAAGCATAAGCGACGCCCGAACAAAGCCGGCAATAAAGCAACCGACCTGAGCCCGATACGGTTTCTATTAACCCTAAACGGGTTTTGGGTTTAGGGTTGAGGGTTTAGCCCAAAGAAAGCCCCAAGCCCAAACCCTGAACCCTAAACCCACACCCAACACACAGGCCCCCCCGATGCCTAAACCCTACCTGGATCCCACAAGTATGTAGAATCATAGCCTTTCAGAAGTTTTGGGCCATTACTTTACCTACTTTCGGGGGGTTAGGTAAACCCTAAAGCGCAGAAACCTATTAGATCCCTTCAAGGAGCCCTTGAAGGTCTATTCCTTAATTCTTACAGCGCGCCTCTTAGAAAACCCTCAGCCCTGAACCCTAAACCCTAAAAACACCTAAATTCACCCATAGGGCAACAAAAATCAAAAAGAAGCCGAAGGAGCTTGCTAAACGGGCCGAGCAGTATGCGAACTTGAAGGCCCTCCTCCATGGGGGGGGGGGGGTTAGGATTTGAGTAGGTGTTGAGGGTTTTGGGTGATTTTTTGCTGCTTGGGGTTTTGGGTCTAGGGGTTGGGTGGTGGGAGGTTGCTGAGTTTAGGCTTTGGCGGTTTGGAGCTTACGATGAAGGGGTTTGCGTCTTGGGTTTAGGGCCATTTTTAGTGCTTGGGAGATTGAGTTTGGTCCTTACGGGGCTTTAGGGTTAGGATTCCGGTTGCAGGGTTTGGTTCATGGTTCAGGGTCCCTTTTTTTTATAAGGGGTGCCGCCTTCTTTTGGGGTTCCGAAAAAGGGACCACCATTCGGAGAACCAATCCCGAAAAAACCCTTATAGATCCCTTTACAAGAAACCTTAAGAGGGACCCTAATTTAGAATTTAGAGAACTACCCTCATACCTATAGTCTCCATTGTAGTTCCTTCTTGGGGATGCCTTATAAAATCCTTAATATATAATTGGTTAAACCAAAAAAAGGAACTACAATGGAGACTAAACCCTAAACCCTAAACCCTAAACCCCTAAACCCTAAACCCCTAAACCCTAAAACCCTAAACCCTAAACCCTAAACCCCTAAACCCCACTACTACAGGTAGGGTCTGGGGCTTGTACTGGAGATGCGTGGGGAAAGAGGAAGATTTGCGCCCGCCAGCTGCCAGTCAGCCTCATCAGCTATCCTGAACAACATGACCATGAGCACATGTGTATGTGTATTTATAAGGTGTATATATATATATATATGTATATGTATATATATGTATATATATATATATATATATTATATTTATATATGTATATATGAATCTGTATATATGAATATGTTGTATATATATATATATACATATAGACAGTTTGGTTTGTCTACGAACTTGGATATGCAGGTGCATACTTGCCTTTGTCAATGCAGTGGCTGCTAGCATCGATTACTGCACTGCCAGCCCTCTGAGGCTTGACATTTGATGCATATATGTATGTAGCAATCTGACGTTGGAGCACCCACAAGAAACGGCCGCACGGAGGGTGGTTGCATGTCGTATCTCTTGGTATTGCCATGTGTCTTGCAAGACGTCTTGGCAGGAGAGCATGCTTCCGCTCAGTGGCCCCATGTTGGCGGCAGCAATACATATAGTAGATACATACATGTTTACATGAGTGCATGCA